GGCTCTGTGCGTTTGTTTTCATTTCCTACAACTTCAATTTGAACTTGCACATGAGTAGCTGTTAGTCTATTCCAGTTAGCAGTTGACCTGGTTTTGACTGCTGATACTGAGCTACAATTCTTTCCAAAAATACAGTCAATCTGATTCCTGTGTAACCCATCAGGGTGGCCCATGTGTATAGTTATTGCTTGTGTTTTTTCAAAAAGGTATTTGCAATGAATAAATCATTCATTGTCTGTACAAAATTCAATCATTCTATCTCCAGCCTCATTTCTATCACCAAAGATGTAATTTCTGCCTTCTTCTTCAAGGGAAAAGTATTATCAGTCTCCTCCTATGTGATTACTGTCCCTGAAAACCTGCTGGAGGGTCAGCTAGGAGTCAATTCCAATTTGACAACAAACAACAAAAAAATCTTTGTTCCTGACTTTTGTATCCAATCAACAATTAGTGAACCTGATTGCATGTTTGATCTATTTCAGAGTGCATAAGTTTGTAGAAATCCCGTTTCTTTATCTTTTGCTTTAGTTGTAGATGTGAATATTTGAATAATAACTGTATTAACAGGTCTTCCATCTCTGCATATAACTCACAGCACGGTGGTAAAAGACAATAATTCTAGAGAGAATGCAAATAAATTATTATAATAACAGGATATCACATTTAACTGTTTAAGGGGAGGGTGCGAGAAACAGGCATAGGTGAGAAACAATGAAAAAGCAGATTGGAAGATCCAGAGGGTAAGGGATCTTTGCAGTCAGGATATTAGATGGAATGAGCTACATACACCACCAGACGTGCATGGAACTATCCCAAGAAAGTGATGGTTATTGGTAATGCAAAATCTAGAAAGGACCCCAGAGGGGACAGTGAAGAGAGTGAGGAGGTTAGGAAAGAAGAAAGTTAAAGTTTCAAGAAACTCTTTACCAATTGAGGTGAGTTCATTGAAGGGGTCATGATTACTGAAATAACCAAGACTTAAGCCTAGAGTAATAGTGGTGAGAGTGCCAGTGATGTAGGAACTTAAATCATCAAGAAATGGGACAGTCTCATCAATGTATACAGTGGGTGACCTATGAGAGACATGAGATTGAAGCTGTAAGCAACTAAGGAGGAATAAGGAAGATACTTATACCCTCTCTAGGTTACTGGCAGCCTACTGAATAGGATCCTCGACCAGGTAGATTGACAGAGACTGCAAGTGTTTCAGAGATTGTGAGAATGGCACAGGTTAGGACAGATTCAGATCTGTTGTTCACAGGGTTGCTATGAGACATACTTGACGGCATCTAACAACAACAGTGAATAAGGAGTTGTGCTGCTATGCCAAAGGCAGGCAGTTTGGATTCACCAGCTGCCCTGAGGAAGTGTTAGCTTCTCTAAAAAAAAAAAAAATTAGTCTTTAGAAAAAAATCAGTCCTTAATTTTGCAAATTACTACCTAATTCGGGAGGGACTGGAGAGCATTATGCTAAGTGAACTCAGTCTCATAAAGACAAATACTGTGTAAGATCATTATTGTAGAACAAGTACAAAGATCTGAGGGGAGTGGGGAGCAGAAGAGTGAGGATGGGGGTGGCTTAATTATAGGGTTTTACAATTTGATAGGTGAAGGAAGGGTGGTTAAAGGAAAGGGGTAACATCCACTGTGAAAAATAATGTGTATGAACTTTGTAAGTAAACCAGTATAAAAGGTTTTTTTATAAGAAAAACAAAGAAACAAACAAAAAAAAATCAGTCCTTGAAACTCCTATGGAGTACAGTTCAGACTCAAAAGCACATAACACTAGGTTTAGTGGTAGGAGAGCTGGGCAACATACAGCTGAGTCTACAGAAGAGACTCAAGGTTGGGTTAGAGCAAGATGATAAGGACTGGCTAAGGAAGAGGTTGAAAACTGTAAGTGAAATGTAGTGAAAACAATTTTCTTCCTTACAGTTTGGTAGTCTGAATCTGGTAGAAGTACAGTAATTTACAGATTGAGTGATGAAATTAGTAGAACCAGGATTTGAACTCAGATCTGTCATCCTCTGAATCGCATGCTCACCCTTCCAAAAACAAGCACCCAAGTTTAAGAACTCTGGGGGGAAACAGCCTGGTAAAAGGGAAGAAAGTGGAATCAGGAAGGATAGAAGAAAACTAGCTACTAAATTTTGCCAACTTATCCTTTGCAGAATTTCTTGAATGTATTTCTTTCTCCTTTAACCTCATAAAAGTGTGATGATGGGAGGGAGCCCTGGTGGTGAATTGCAGTATGTATTAGATGGCTAATGGAAAGGTCAGTGATTCTACTCCACTAGCCATTCCAAGGGATAAAAATGGTCTGTTCCAGTAAAGATTCACAAGCTCAGAAACCCTATTAGAGGGTCACCAGTTGTTAGAAATCAAATGAAAAGCAGTGGGTTTGGGGTGGGTGAGTGTGATGGGCCAGCAATCATTAACGTTAGAATGAGTAACTTTCTTCAACAACCCCTACTGTGTGAATGAGTATGCAGACACACACACAAAGCATGCACACACTGAGGCAGGAAGATTTCTTTTATCTGAGTGGGTCCTTCAGGTCTTTGTAAAGCAGAATGAGGGGTGGGGTTGAAAGAAAAGTGAGGGAGTGCCCATAGGCACAGCAGATCCACGAGGTACCAGAAATGAGGGGTGGGATGAGCTGGCCAACAGATGGTGAGCAGAGGGCTTGAGAAATAAGCCCGCATCAGTTCGGGATGTGTAGAAGAGGTAGACAGGAAAAGTGCTGCTTGCACTACAAGTTGCTTTCAGAGGTGGGGAGAAAACACAAGTCAGTAACTCGAGGTATTTTTCTGAGTGAATTATTTATTTAGATTTTTAAATGGACAATAAATTTACATGGTGCTAACGTAACAGCTTTTACAACAGTAAGTAGGTCTTCTACCTCCCCTGTAGGTCAGAGCCAGGCCCCTTCCTATAGATTACCCTGTTCTAACAGCCCTCTCCTTTTCTCACCTCTTTTCTCTCAACCCTCTTTCCCCCATTCCCTCCTGCTCTCTTTCTAGCAGCAATAGAATGCTATACATTCAATTCTATCTTGATAAGAATATCTTCCTTCCCCTTAAGAATAGCTCTGTAACAAGTGTTCCTTTTAACAGCTGCACAGTATTTCGTTGCACAGTAGGATGAATTTCTTAAACATTATTTTTAAAAATTTTACTTGCTATACTACCTCTTTTTAACCATAATATACCTCTGAGATGGACCTACTGTCAGTCCTCCCCCCTGTCCCAAATAGGTTTATTAGTCCAATCTCTACACTTTTTAAAAATCTTCTCTCACACCTTTAATGTTACTTTTCTTACTCTCCATCCCTCTTAATGCAAATTTTCTGGAAGCTAGATCAATGATTACAGCTTATGATGCTTCTCCAAGCACATGCACATCTCTTTCCTCTAACCCTAATTACCACCAATCATGTGGGGATTCAATCCAAGTGTGGACTGATAAAGAGTTAAGTGTGCAGTTGGAGTGAGTTCCTGGTTGCACAACTATGTAAAGTGCTTGGCTGCTAACTGAAAGCTTGGAAGTGTGAATCCACTCAGAAAGATCTCAGAAGAAGAGTCATTGAAAATAGATTCTTAGAGAATCACGGCTCTGACTCTTGACACATCACCACCACTACCAACTGGGGCAACTGCTTGGTTTTTAGGAAACCCACTCAAGGCCGTGCTGGTTTTCAAAATACTGAAACACGTCTACACTTTGTGGCCAAATTGTTTCCTGAGCCCCTTGCAAACTCCTCTGTTGATGTATTAGATCCTTCCCTAGGAACCCCTCTTTCTTAAAGCTTTATGATCAAACAGCTAGGGGATTCCCGAACTACCAGGGAGCTCTAGGACTTGGGTTCAGCACTGAGGTCAACATTGGTAATACTACCCTGATCCCCCATTCCAATGATATCCGTTTCAAATATTCTGAAAATATGATTCACTGTATATATCTTAAGTCCTCCAAGTAAAGGTTTTATGGTTAGGATCGTCTTATCATATAAAGCATTATATGGTAACTATTCTAAATTTGCATACTTCACCGCTTCTAAGGCACCAAAACTCCAGAAGTATTTACACCTAAAACTCGCAGGAAGTTTACTTCCATCCCAAGTAGATTTAATTGTCCCAAGAATCTCCTCAATTCTCATGCTCTCCACTGTTGTACTTCTTCCTCCTCAAATAAATGCCTGTTGCATATGTGTAGCTGGATGCTGAGACTTCTTGACAGGAGCCTAAGCTTTGGAACTGTTTGAATAGAGTGAAGAGATGACTATCAAAAGAAATCATCTTTTCAGCTCCGCTGCAGGGGTAAGGAGCTCTGGTGGCCTAGTCCCTGGGGAGGTATGCTGGGAACTCAAAGGTTACCTACCCTTCTCTGGCAGTTTGAATCTATCAGTTGCTCTGGTGGGAGAAAGATGAACAGCCTCAGAAACCTGCTGGAGGGTCAGCTACAAGTAGGTCCTGACTAGACAGCAGTAGTTCTAGAAGAAACGCATTATAGTCTTATCACCTCATTCCACGTCACTGATTTATTAGAAATGCTCCCTTTTTCACCACTTCCTGTCTTCCCACTTGTGTGTAAGAGGGACCAAGACATATTGACCTAAAAAGTGATCAGGCCCAGTTCCTCTGACCCCAGCATGACCTTGACTCCTGATTTACTCCTTGAGCAGGACTGACCCCAGGTCTCACTTCACGTTTTCACACCCATCTGGTCTCCACTAAGATCTCCTCCTGCCCCACCTCACCCCTCTTCCATCCATCCCTAACCATCTTACAGATGCCATCTCGGACTGCTTCCAGCCAGCCCCGCCCCTCACTCCCACTTGGCTCCGCCTTTCAAGCCCCGCCCCCCGCGCCAGCCCATTTTTGTTCTCACCTTTCTCAGCTCCCCCGACCCCACTTTCCTGGCTCTGGACCCACCCCTTTCCTTCCCCTCCCCCACCACAGCCCTGGCACGCGCTCGGCCACCCATCCACCCACCCTCACCTCGGAGAACATTGTGGCCAGATGCTCCAGAGGCGCCGCGGGCACGTCTCCACAGAGCACTGCACCGCGGAGGCTATGAGGCCCCAGCGGCTCCGGCCCGGTGCGCAGGAAAAAGAGCCCCTTAGCGCGGGCCGGCCGGCACTCGGGTGTCGCGTCCAGCCCGGGTCGCACAGCCAGGCCCCCAGGCCCCGGCTGCACCACCAGCAGCGGCTGTGGCTCCGCCGCAGCACTGCCGCCCAGGAAGGCCTGCAGCAGCCGCTCCGCCTCCGCCGACCCCGCGCAGCGCTCCCAGGCGCCCACAGCCGGCCGCAGGCTCTGAGCCACGTAAGCGCCCAGGAGCTGCACGCGCGGGTCGGCGCCGCACTCCTCGTCTGCGTTCTCAGCCGCCAGCACCGCGAGCTGCTCGGCGCTCGGCATGCTGCGGGCCGCCGCGCCGCCGGTTTCCCTAGCGACGGGGACGCGGCCCGTCCTACCTCCTCGGAGCCCCGCCCACCGAGCACGTGACTCCTGGCCTCGCCCCTCGCTAATAAGGTAGGAGCCCTAACTAGGGAGGTGGCTTTGCTATTAAGACGCCAGGTGAGACTCGACTAGCAACTGGTTTGTAGGTTGGGAACACTTCTGGGACTGATGTGTGGAGGGGAGGCCAAAAGATATAAATACTGTTAAGATACTTTGTGGACAAGGTCATATGAAATTCTTTAGAGTTCTCCTTACACGGAAAATGTTACAGTGCTTCCACTTCCTTCCCAAATGAGTAGTTTAAAATTAAAACACTGTCAAATCATAAAATCATGCATTGCCGTACAGTCAGAACTGACTCATAACAGATCCTGCAACAGGTTTGCAGAGGCTATGAATCATAAGGAAATAGATGGCACATCTGTCTCTTTTGGAGCTCCAGGTGGATTCGAACCTTGTACCTTTGGTTTGATATTGCAACTCCCTGTCCATTAGATCCCGAGAGCGCTCCCTAATAATAAAACAGATGTAAGGACATTGAGTAAACTTTTTTTCTCATGATGACAACCTAAATGCTTGACAACAATGCTGCTGTTCAATAGATTTTTCTGGAATAGTGGAAACGTATATCTATGCAAGACCCTTGTGACTGTCAAACACTTGCATTGTGGCTAGTGCCACTGAGGTACTGAATTTTTTTTCATTCTTTCTGCTTTAATAGTAAAAATGTGAACAACAAAGCATTTAGCAATTTAGCAATGTACATGTATAATTCATTGGTTATGTTGTTGTTGTTATGTGCTGTCGAGTTGCTTGAGACTCATAGCGACCCTATGTACAAGAGTCCTAAACTCTGCTCTATCCTGTGCCAACCTTATTGTCTCTGACACACCTACTCCCATTACCCCAGTCACTGAATCGATCCATCTCATGGAAGATCTTCCTCTCTTGCACTGTCTGTCCACCCTCCTAAACATGATGTCCCTCTCTAGGGACTTGTCCCTCCTTGCAGCATGGCTAAAGTATGTCAGACAAAGCTTCATAATCCTTGCCTCTAAGGAGAGGTCTGGTTTCATCCTCTCCAGGTCAAATCTGTTTGTTCTCCTAGCAGTCCATGGTATATTCAACACTTCTCCAGCACCATTGCTCAAAGGCATCAATTCTCTTTCTATCAGCCCTAGTCATTGTCCAGTCTTCTGATGGATAGCACGCAATTGCGAAGACTATGGCCTGGATCAGGCACACCTTAGTCTCCAGCCTAACGTTATTGCTCTTCAGTACTCTGGAGAGGTCCCTGACAACTGACTTTCCTAATGCAATTTGTCTCTTGATTTCCTGGCTGCTGGTACAGAGAGTGTTGATTGTGAAGCCACGCAAACTAAAATGGTTAGCATCCATACTGATGCTGCCTATTGGCCCAAGTGGTGAGAATCTTTGTTTTCTTGATGTTGAACTTCAATCCATATTGAAGACTGCAGTCCTTGACCTTCTTCAGCAAGCACTTCAGGTCCTCCTCAGTTTCAGCAGCAGTGTTGTGTCATCTGCATACCACAGGTTGTTGATGAGCCTTCCTCCAATCGTGATGCCATATTCTTCCTCATACAGCCCAGTGTCCCAGATGATATGTTCTGCATATAGATTGAAAAGGTATGGAGACAGAATACATCCTGGTGGACACCCTACACGATTTTGAACCATGCAGTGTCTCCTTCCTCTGTTCTGACGACTGCCCCTTCGTTCAAGTATAGGTTTCACATAAGCACAATCAAATGTTCTAGGATTCCTATTCTTCTCAGAATCTGCCACAGTTTGTTGTGATCCACACAGTCAAAAGCCTTTGCATACATAGTCAGTGAAACACAGACATTCCTCTGGTACCCTCTGCTTTCAGCCAAGATCCATCTAACATTAAGTATAATATCCCTAGTACCAGAGCCTCTTCTAAACCCAGCCTGCACATCTGGCAGTTCTCTGTTGATGTGTTGCCCCAGTTGTTTTTGGATAATTTTCAGCAGAATCTTGCTTGCATGTGATATTAATGGTATTGTTTGATAATTTCCACATTCTGTCGGGTCACCTTTCTTTGCAATGGGAACAAATACAAATCTCTTCCAGTCAGTTGGCCTGCTGGCTGTCCTCCAGATTTCTTGGCACAACTTAGTGAGCACATCCAGGGCAGCGCCTGTTTGTTGAAATATGTCAGTTGATATGCCATCAACTCCTGGAGCCTTATTTTTGCCAATTCTTTCAAAGCAACTTGAACTTCTTCCTTCATCACCACAAACTCTTGTCCATACATTGTTTCTTTAGGTTCTTCTGTGTCAGCCAGTTCCTCTGGTACAGTGACTCTGTTTACTTCTTCCATCTTCTTTTAATGCTTCTTCGATCATTTAACATTCTGCCCAAAGCATCTTTAAGTATTGCCACTCGTGGCTTAAATTTGTTTTTCAACTCCTTCAGCTTAAGAAATGCTGAGTGAGTTCAGCCCTTTTGATTTTCTGACTCCAGCTCTTTGCACATTTAATTATAATACCTTACTTTGTCTTCCTAAGCTGCCCTTCAGCATTTTCTGTTCAGCTCTTTAATTTCTTCCTTTAACATTGGCTTCTTCGTGCTCTAATGGAATATTCAAAGCCTCATCTGACATCCATCTTGGTCTTTTCTTCCTCTTATGCCTTCGTAATGACCTTTTGCATTCTTCATGGATGATATTCTTGATATCCTCCCCATAGCACATTTGGACTCCTTAAATGTGGTTGCCAAGAGAGTACGTCTAGTCCACTCCTTAAGTGTAAGTTCTTCCTTCTACTAAGAAAGAATAGAGAGACAGAAGTCCAGGCTTTACTATGGAAGCGAAGAAAAATATTTATTAGGGAAAATATTTAACAAGCAAAATGGCTTGGCAGAGGGAGACATGGTGGAGCAGTGTTAGTCCATGACTCAGTGGATAGAATAATTGTTTGAGCTTACAAAGATTTAAGTGAGAAGGAGTTTCATGTTTATTTATAAGGAAAATAGGGAAATTTTGAGACCTGGTATCAGAGAGGTTATGATAACTGAGTGTGCATGCAGCTAGCTGGCTCTTCAAGATGAACTCTGTTGCACAAGCTTCTGAGTCAAGAGACATTATTCATTATGGGATGACGTACATGACAAACTGGGCATCATTTTGAAGCCTATTCCAGCTAAAGGCTTTCCCCCCCTTTTCATTAGCTTATTTACAAAATTCTAATATAAAATCGAACAGATTTTTTCAATTTTCCTCTCCCCCGCCCCATAAAATTCTCCCCCCCTATACATCCACATCCCTCTGCTTCCAGTGTTTCCCACCCCTCCTGGATCCCAGCTGAAGGCCTTCTGCTTCCTCTATAGGAAGGTCATCCAGCAGTCGGAGGATGGTTGACCGCACGTGTTTATGTTGCTATTATGCACTATTAGGTCAGAACTGACTCATGGATTTTCTGAGGCTGTAAATTGCACAGAAGGAGCTAGCCTATCTTTCTCCTGTGGAACAGCTGATGGATTTGAACACAATGCCTTTGGTTTGACCTTGAGGCTCCTTACCACCAGGCCACCAGAGTGCCCTAGCAATCAGTTTAAGCAGGTTCTGTTGGGAAAGCAATGTAACAGGAATTAAGTGCTCATTGTATTTTATTGTGGTGATGGTGGTGTTTACTTATGAGTCACAACTGACCCTTAGCTGACCTTTCAGTGGCAGTAAGTAGCATGGGAGGAGATTCCCCATCCATCTTCTGAGCAGTACCTGGTGAATTCAGACCTCATGTTTTTGGGATTGCAGCACAGTTGACATGAAGTACACTATGACTCATAACATCCCTGTGAACAATAGATCTGAACCCTGCCCTATCCTGCATCATCTTCGCAATCTCTCATATGTTCCAGCTAATTGTTATAGTCACTGTGTCCAGACATCCCCCAAGACAGACTTGTTTGTTCTTTTAGTGACTGCAGGGTTATTGAGTACTCTTCTCCAACACTGAAGTTCAAACATAGTGGTTATTCTTTTGTCATCCTTAGTCATTGTTCAACTTACAGATGTATGGAAAGCAACTGAAAGTTCCATGGCTTGGATCAAGTGCACCTTAGTCTTTAAAGGGACATCATTGCTCTTTAACACTTTGGGAAGGTCCTTGACAGAGGACTTCCCCAGTGGAACAGTCTTTTGATTTCTTGTCTGCATGGGTGTTGATTGTGAATCCAAGTAAAATGAAAATGAAGTTGTTGATAACTTCAATCTTGTTTTCATCTATCATGTTGTCTATTGGTCATGTGCTGAGGATTTTTGGTTTTTTGATGTTAAAATGTAATCCATGTTGAAGGCAGTAGTCTTTGATTTTCTGTAGTAAGTGCTTCAAATCCTCTTCACTTTCTATAAGCCATCTGCATAGTGCAGAATGTTGATGAGTCTTCCTAATTGTGATGCCACATTCTTCTTTATATAGTCCAGCTTCTTGAAGGATTTGTTTAGCATTCAGGTTGAATAGGTTTGGAAAGAGGACCTTGATGCACACCTTTGCCAATTTTAAACCATGCAATGTTTCTTTTTTCTCTTTGAATAACTGCTTCTTGGTTTCTCATACATGAGAATAATTACATATTCTAGGATCCCTCTTCATCTCAGTGTTATCCATAATTTGCTATGATCCAGATAGTCAAATGCCTTTGCATAATCAAGAAATTCTCCATAACAGTACAAAAAAGTACTTTTAATTATTCAGGGTACTCAGAGCCTCCTATCTGTCTGGATTTAGACTGTAAAAAGGGAAAATGGAGCTCTCCCAGTTTCATTCTCCTGTCTGCCCACTGAATTTTTCTCTAGAATCAGAATGTAGATAGCTCAGGCTTTTGTATGCATATGAGGTCAAAATGTGTGAATTGCAAGGGAAGGGGAAACCCAGGCTCCTGGAAAGCCTGTAGGTCTGAAATGAAGTCCCTTC